TTTAATTAAACTGCTTAATTTCTTGCGAGTAGAAGTGAACGATCCAAATTGTGGCAAAAATCTTAGTTGAAGCTAATTTATAGAGGTCATCTATATTAATCCTGTTTTTCAAAATTTTACCTTCATTCGTATTTCCTTTTAAACCAAAGGTTTTTCTTTGTTTCTTTTTTGTTGTTGTTTTTTGCGTTTTTGCTTGTCATGTATTCACACGTGCATCTTGCCAACAATGAAATAGAAATAATATATTTTTTATCGTTTAATATTGTTTGACATTTAATGGAAAGCAGTTGAATATTTGCTTCCCAATTATCTTCGTCTGAATGCTCTGAATGATAAAGATTGTTTCTGAAGTCAACATAAACACATCATGGATTACAAATAATAGTTTTTTCTATTACAAGAAGACTAGTTTGGTTAGGCCCTAACATTTGCATTCATTAAACGTTCCACATCAATGCACTCAACATTCCATTCATTTTTGATGTGCCTTTGCATAGGATAGCTTCGCCTAAGCCGTTTATCTTGTCGCGACCGGCGGGCGCAGAGCACGTGCGACACGTCGATTGACGTAGCCAAGTAAACGCTGGAGTGAGGCGGGGGCCGGCGAGCCGCAAAGCCGTGGAAAGAGCCGCGCCTCTCTGAGGAGCGAGGCAATGACCGCGCGACGCCGTTGCAGCATCGACAAGCTGCCGACGCCCCAGCCTCTTGCGTGCTTTGAGGCGCCGGCAAAGTGGAAGGAAAGCGCATGGCTTGGAAGTTGATTTCTTTTCAAATACTGACATAAAGCGCTTACGATTCTTTTCTTTTGAAAACCATTCGCTTTGTAAAATCGTACCGTATTCTAAATAAATAATACTCAGGAAAATACGAGTATTGTGTATAAATTAAATCAAAAATTAGATATGCATTTGGTCATTACTTGACATTGTCATTAACTAAGCAATGTATCCATGGTATGCAGTTTTGTACGATAATTAATAATTACCCAACAGAGCTGCGGCACAGTAATATGTAATTTCATGTGGCATCCTAAATAAAATTTCTTTTACTGACGTGTCAGCTCTACGGAATTTTCCTTTATGATGGAGAAAGATCTTGCTGTAGCTCTGAAAGCAATCAAATGATGTGGATCGAGACTCCATAAGAAATATTTGAAAAAACATATGAACCATATAGTGTTTCACAATATTGTTTCTATATTTCCTACGTTTGAAGAAAAAAAACTATACCAACATTTGTTTTGAACTCTCTTCCGGCAACAAGAAGAATTTACTGTTCTCTAGGATTATGAACATAATGTTTACATTTGATACTTTAACCGACTTCAAAAAGTATTTCGATGTGAGATCCTCTCCATTATAGAAATACTTTTTCAACTTCTTCTTGCGTATTGACGTATTAATATTTTATTTATTTAATCAGCGCCGATGTTTCGGTGACATTATTGGACCACCCTCAAGGCTTCTGTCCATGATATATATTCGAGCACTCTCCAATGAGCTTGGAATACTATCATTGACTATTTATTTACATATCAAAATAGATTTACGTAAGAGTGGGAACATATTTCCATGCAATACGGATATTTGTAATTACAACACTGAGAAATCCTTTTCATCAGGTGTCAGTATTAACAAGAAATCCAAAGAAACGCGTATGTCACTTTACGACTCATTCCCAGGTGACATGAATTAATTAAATTCAATACCCAAGTTCAAATACCAAGTACAATATTTTTTTGCTGCATAACTGTTTCTATTCAATTAGAGACTGCACTAACCATCAAACATAAACTTCTTTATTGCAATATCATTGATACATCAATGACCATATGTACTGTGTGATTAAAAGACTAAATATGCCTAAAACAAGTATTGTACCTCAGCTTCTAGATCAATGATACCATCTCCAATTGTTGTTTGTTTGTTTGTTGTTGTTTTTTTTGACCAGTTTCTGTCGATTCATTGAAAAAATGTTCAGATGCCCCATGGTTTTAAATCTGGAAATAAATGTAGCTTCGTTACGTGCAAATTCATTTTCAACTTTCTTTTTGGCTAGTTGTAGTAGAAATATGGTTGGAGGTGTTTTCTGTTACTCGGATCCAAAATGTCGTTTTCAAATGTTGCTAACAATGCCTTGTTGGTACTTTTATTCATCATTTAACTATGTTTAATAAAAGGGTTGGATAGGCATCTGCAGCTCAAATAAACGTGCGAAGATCATACTTCTCCATACGTCACATGCAGTTGTTATTGTTTTTATGATAAATAAACGAAACTAAATAGTCAAAGGCTTTATGATACAAACATCACAAGACCAACATGTTTTATGTAGTATTCGTGTTGATGTAGAATAGGTATAAATGTAGTAGGTATCTTTAATAAAAATAATGCAAAAATAATCTTCAAACACATTTGGAAATTATGGTTGTATTGTTAATAGAAAAGTCCTGATGCATCAAATTTTCTTAAAGGACCTCTGAAAACAGAACGGCGAATTTTGTTCTCGCCTTGCTTTGTTCAGAACGGAATTTTGGGAGTTGAGTTCCTTCTTCTTCCTCCTCTAAATCAGTGTCTAATTGCAAGAAAATCGCGAACCTTTATTGGATGGATTTTTATTTCCTAAATAACTGGTATGTTAGAAATTGTATATATTCACGAATAACTCTAATAGTTATTTAAGCACCAAAGGCGTTATATGGGTTCTAATGATCGAGCGGCGACAAAACGCCCGAGGGCTTTTTGTATATATAATTGTATATGTATTTGTAGATGTAAAATGTAAGATATAGAGTAAGTACTTTTTATAAAATGTAGATTAAAAGGAGAGACGAATCGACTGCGATACACGAAGCTAAATGCGATACAAAAGGCTAAGCCCCCTCTAAACTACACGGGTGTGGACATTTTATGAAGCTAATCGTTCAAAATCTTGTTGTTGCATATAGCGCAAAAAGTGTAATGATTTGAGAGTTTTAAAATAAAAGGAATCACAGAAAAAATTTGGTTAACAAAAAGAACGTGAAAAGTATGACAAGTAAAAGAAAGCAGGCGAGTAACGTACGGCAGTAACATGCAACAGTAAATGGGAATAGTTGTTGATTTGTGACTTGTTATTTATAAAAAAAGCGAAAGTGGGTGATAAAACTATATTGCATTTGGGCCCACTTCATAATATTCAAATCATCATCAAGTCATTCAATCCATACCCCAACTTCTTTAATTCAGATGGTACTCCACAGAGAGTACGAGTATTAATCTCGGTCTTCTCTAGTGTATTTCAGAATATTCAACGCCGTACATTTCTGCAGGACTCATGCTACATTACGCCAAATATCAAAAGCAATTTTCCAGACATTGCCTTGCCATTTATTTCACCACATCATTTTATCACAAGTGGCATCTCCTTTGTATATGCCAAAAGACTACTAGTTTTATTTTCACGTGTATCAAGTGGTGCTACTACAGAACATACTTTCTCTCATTATTTGTAACTGCCACGCAATATTATACTACTACAAGAACCTACAAATGCGTTTTGAATCAGCAAACATTTTTCCGCTCCAGGGTCGAACTCAGGTTGTCCGAATTAACTCACTGTTAATTGCCTCTTATCTCTACTCCAAACGTGCCATTCTGACGCACTAACTCGGGCCGACGCACAAAAATCTAATTGTCTCAATCCAATATTTCCAATTCCCAATTTTCGAAAATTCAGAGATATCATCGTAAATTTAACAACTACAATTCTTTCAACCAGTATTCATTTGTGTTATCCGCGGAAACAAATCAAAGAAAAAATTGGAGCGATTTTTGAGAAAAAGTTCTTCCACAATTTGCATTCACTTCAACCAGAAATTACGTGAAAACTACTTTTTTTTTTCAAAGTTTGTACATGACCTCTTTAGGAGCTGGTTTATTAGAGCAAATTTTAAGATAAAAAGTCTATCTTCCTTTTTTTAGTTTTGAAATGTTAACTTTTTACAATTTCCGAAAATATGGAGAGTTTGTCGAAAATGGGATTAGCGCCATACTTATTACCGTCCTTTGATTCATACGAGGAAAAAACTTTTCTAAATAACGACATCAATGTTTTTCTTATAAAGTTGTTTAAAAAATTAAAATTGACTATATTTCGCCTAAAAGAACACCGTACAAATCTTATGGAAATGAGGTTTCGGTCAAATTTTCTGAAAATTTAGTATGTCCTTCCTTAGATCATATTGAGCGAAAGTTATGGCCATTAAGCAAAAAAAAGTTATTTTTGATCATTATAAAACGGAGTTCATGCCGATTTGTCGAATGATAGAAAGGCACATATGTGCACTCAAAGCATATTAAAACGAAACAGTCTCACTTGTTTATACTTGTGAATTATGTTTTTTAATTTTCCGTAAGTCACTGTGCTTCATTACCGTGAGCGCCCTTGCCTTCTACGTTGAGATACTTGGTCACCGTAGGTCTCCTTGCCTTACACTGTGGGGTGAATCATTACGGTAAGTCCCTTTGCCTCTCGCTATCGGGGTGCTTGATTATCGTGAAATAACATAATTAACAAGTCAAAACAATTGTTGTTTCATTTGAATATGCTTTGAGTGCACATGTGTGCCATTCTATCATCCGACAAATCAGTATGATCTCAGTTTTAAAATGTATATTATATAAAAAAACAACTTTTTTTGCTTAAAGGCCATAACGACTTTTGATCAGTATGGTCTAAGGACCAACAATACATTTTCAGACAATTTGACCGAAACCTCATTTCCATAAGATTTGTGCGGGGTTATTTGAAAAAACTACTAAAGCACAGTTTAATAATAAACTTTTGTGCCGTTTTTGGTCCTTCTCATTGCTTTTTTGCAATTATTTAACAATAGCCATGTTAATATTTTATACTCGTAGTATAGAGAAAATATATCATTTCGATAAACAGGGGTTTCAAATAAAAATTCAAATAAACTTTTAAGGAATGTCTTTAAGCAAATATTATTCTATTTTCAGGAATTATTGCCACTTGCTTTGAATAAAGATCCACTTCCAGATGATGATATAGTAGAAGCATGTCGTCAAGTGATTAAATATTCTGTGAAAACAAATCATCCATATTTCTTTAATCAGTTATATGGTGGAGTTGATATGTATGGACTTGCAGGTACCTGGATTTCTGAATCACTTAATACCAACCAGTAAGTATTTCTTTCACTATATCTTGCATCACTTTATATAATATAAGCCATTTATGGTATACAGAAAACATTTCAACCATAAAGAGTCAATTTTGTGTAATACAATAGAAATAAAAAGTTGATATTCATTAAAAAAATAGATTTTGATCAACCAAACATAAATGAGGTATAGGCGTATTTCGAAAAACAATGAGCAAATTGTGTTCATTCCAGAGAGCTTCAAATTTAATTTTGTTCATTTAATAATAAATTCATATTTATTTGCACACATAATTAAAATTAAAACTTCATTATTTATCATTTTAAGGTAACTTGTAAAATGTGTCAACTCATTATTAGACTAATACATGAAAATGAGCAAATATTTTTTACAAAACGTTTAAAGATTATATTCCATCAATTCATGATTCATGTTGCAATTTAATTTCAGATATACTTTTGAAGTTGGTCCAGCATTCACACTAGTTGAACATGCAGTACTGACTCATACACTAAACATGTTTGGGCTAGCCAATGGAGATGGAATATTTTGTCCAGGTATAGTTCTCGTTCTTCTGTTTTGTTCAATAAATTTTTGGTGAGTAAAAGTATATCTTGTATTCAATATATTAATGTATAATAGACATATAAAATTTGCCAAAACCAAATCAAATGCGTGAAAAATAATACTTTTCCCGTTCAACTTTGAGACTGACGGCTTTTGCTTGGTTTAGCTGCATGCCCTGAACAGTGACATCATAATTCCCATAACATATACAACAGTGATTTTATCAATTATACTAGGGATAGCTAGTCAAAAATGACAAGACGAAAGTAAACTCACGCCTTAATATGGGATAAAAACACAATATTTTTATTGAACAAATTCAGTATGAGTTGCTTTTCTTTAATTTTAAGATTTCCTTTTTTAATAAATTTCCCCTCTAAAATTGCTGTGTGAAACACTCTTAAAAACCTTTTTTTCTATTCTGAAGAGGATTACACAAAGTTGATCGCAGAGAAGTAGGATTTTTCTAAAAACACACATATTTGTCGAAAGATTGTTCCTCTGACTTGTCAATTGGGAGGCCGAAGGCACTTATTACACCTTTAAATAATCTATTGTCTTTTTATAACAGCAGTTGTAATATATTTCTCTGGGACTTTCTTCCTTCTCGAAATTCAAAGAATTTCCCAAATTCCCAAACTCACTCCAACTACCTCATTTTGCTCCGCCAAAGTACCGAATTGTATCGTCCGATGTACTTGCAATAGCACCGAGTAATGGTGGGATACCATAACGACCCAGTCGCTTGTTAAGTTTTTATAGGTTCTGAGGACGTCATATCCGAAAAATCTTTATTGGGAACATATCCTTAAACCATAAGTAATAATATGAAAACACTGTACGTTTCCATCGTGCTCCGTTTGCTCAAACTTCAAGAGATATATACAGTGTCTCAAAATAAAAGTCACAAACTTTTGGGTAACGTAGAGGGCATGCAGATAATTTTTTGCCATGTGGTAATACTTTTCTAATGCAGTGGTGTTCCGCAGATACACAAAATCTTTGATCGCATCAGAACATGACCTGCTTCACACCAGTACATGGCAAGTTGTCTAACAACGTGTAAATGCCACATGTGGAACTTAATTGTCCGTGTTTATTGTTGCTCACATGTTTATTGGCAAAAAGTTATCTTTTACCCCTCTACATGCCCCACAAGTTTGTAAAATTTATTCTAAAGCATCATTTATAATAGCGCAGACGCAGTCACTTGGTGAACAGTTGTAGGATAACAGAGAACCAAGTTTATTGCACCTTCACTTTAGATCAGAGGATATGAAGGACCTAAATAACTTCATTTTGGTATGTTATTTAACATGCTAATATTTTTCTTAATATACTAGTACTGTTGAATTATCTATAATTTCGGCTACTGTCCTAAAAACAAATTTCATATTAAATATATATTTATCAATACAAAATGCCTAATTAAACTGTGTTTTGAAAACATTTTTCTTGATGTCTGTACTTCAAAACTTATTTCACAAAACATTGAGGTGTGCTTAATGTCGTATTTCGATATTTCAAGGGGGAATCGGCTAGTCAGAATGCTCCCCCCACCTTTTTGTTTCTTCTAATCGAATCTTTTTTTTTTCTTCTACAATTCCTGTTGATCTTTTTCCTAATATTTTAACCCGGTATCACCACTGCAATCATCTTTTCTCAATAAAAGTCTCGCTGTGTTCTATTTATGTTAAATTTGTTGAGGCAGAATATAGATTGAAAAGTAAAAATATAGATAGGCGGAGTTAAATATTTCATTTTTTAAATAAAATCACCAAACTAAAAAATCGATGGTGTTATTTCTCGTCATTCGGCATCGCCTTTCGCTGTGTGCCCCGGGGCGGTGCTCTGGTTGCTCGGTGGAAGTTGTGGCCCTGAGTGTGCTGGTCTGCTGCTTGCAAGTAGGCCATTTGGGTCGATTTCAAAAAATATGTCCGTTTTACTGTCTCAATTGAAAACTCGTATCGTCGCTTTAAACGTATAGTACTTTTTGAAGAAGCTACGTAGAACGTAATCTGTAGGCTTGACTAGTACAATGAACGATTTCAAACAATGAGTGGGTTTTTAAGTTCCCAGTCCCTAAGAAAACGTTAAAATATATCCACGCGTCCAAATGACTTTATAATAATAATTTTTTGTAATGTGCTCAAAAATATTTTTTTCAGCACGTACCGGTATGTTTCTAAATTCTATGACTGTCCTAGCAAGCCCAAACCACAAACTGTGCAGTTTCGTTGAGTGCCGTAAAAATATTTGCCAAAGAAGCTGCGAACGCCTGTGACCCACATGTGGTTCACGGACGTATCAAAAGCGCAGTTTTACGTTTTGTGAACCACATACGGCTCACAGGACAGTGAACGTGTTAATACATGACCATGAAAATATTATCACATGTGGAACATAAATTTTAAATAGTTAAATGGACGAAAATCATCACATTAGTTATGTTTCTGGGCACATTGCAAGTGTTCAAAGTTAAATTTTCATATATAGTTAGATTTTTTGGTAACTTTTTTCGTTATTCTTACACATGCAATTCTGAGTGTTATTTTCAAATGGTGACCGCAAATATGCTTGTCCGTCACGTTACGTCCAAATGATCGTTGTGTTTAGAAAAGTGTTTGAGTGTAAAGTACTGAGGGAGAGAGGCCTAGTTTTGTCCCTGTGGTCGGCGTAATTTAACCGCATAACCAGGAGTCAAACTTAAACTAGAGGTGCCTGAATAGTGCATACTTTCTCGCATGATTGAAAATAGTTACGTAGTATTAAAATATTGTAATTTCTGCCACACTAAAAACTCAATTATAACTTGAAAACCTCCACTTCAAATGAATCACCTCTCGAGTTTATCTGCATTTATTTCCAATTTCAGGAAGAGAAGTAATTTCTTACTTTTAGAAATGAAACTAACAGGAATAAATTTAAATGTTACAGTATTTACAGAACATTCCTTTCATAAGAATATTATCTACATCATACAATCATCATGAACGACAATGGGATGAATTCGAAGAATTATTAAACCTCTGTGTTGCCTGTCAACGCCTGAAATGAAGCGCTCAAAATTCCAATTTACACATCCGAACTCAGCAATTTTTGAAAATACAGTGCGCCAAAAATAGGTCCGTCACCACTATCTTTACAGTTCTTTGCTGCATATGAGGATAAAAATGAAAGAAAATTTGAAGCCGCTTCTGAAAAAATTATTTTAAAAGGTTTTAAAAACGCCTATGTTTGATCTAAAATCATGCAAAAAATATTTTTCGAAATATTGAACATGACCTCTTTTGAAGAACTATTTTTGATGAACACATTTCATTTTTAAAAAAGATCTTCAAAATTGTAGTTGCAGTAAAACGCTGAAAAAATTGAAAGTTTCGAAATATCAGGATTTTTAACGAAATACAGACATGCAATATTCTCTCAAACGTCCTTAACACTATCAAATAAAAAAATAATCAAAAACGGAGCCATTTTCTTGCTTCATGTAAAGTACCTTTCAAAATTGAAATATCGGTTTCAAATTCAACGGGCCGCGATGTGAGCCAAAACAATTTGGAAAATATCAATTTTGGAGAAAATCGGCTGAACGGTTGTGAATCAGTTGAACAACCAAGCGTTGTTGACTTACAGACAAACACACACAGACGTTTTGCCGTCGTTCTATTTTTAGGTATCAAGGACCCACAAAACATGGTTTTTCCTTACACCTGTGTTAGATGATTTTTTCTCAATTTAACGACTGAATTTATCCACTTTTTCATTACCAAGGCCAGGCAATAAGAGTTTTTCTGCCGAAAATTCGTGACTTTTTCCCGCAGCATTATATAACTTGTTCGCTTCTCTTATTCTCAAAAGTCGCTAGTCGGCGGCATATTTAAAGGTTTTGTCGCAATATTAATATGTCCTGATGTTTACATTATTGTCCACTTCCGTACAGTTCGCGTTCTTTTGGTTATACGATCGTGTCAATTCTGATAACTCTAGTGTTTTGCTTAAATTTGTGATCTGCTTACGTTACAGATCTGTATCAGTGGCATGGCATCCAATGATCTAAATATTGCCTGCTGATTAACTAAAATTTTAAAAAATGAGATATTAATATTCAAAATTATTCTTTATTAATTCGTTTCTTTTGCGAAGCCCAGCCTTCCTTGCTTACCCTGAATATCCGCTCCTAATGTTATATCAGTAATAGAAAGCATAAAACCATACAAAAGGAAAATTCCTTATATTAATATTCATTTGTGAATAATTATATTAAAATATTTGATTCTCCTTGATTTGGATACCCACCTAATTCTTTCAGATATTGACTGTAGTTACAAAATAGTAAGATCCGCAAATCGCTCAAAAGTTAACTACCCAAGGCTGTCACTAGATGAAAGATAAAATGCTGAAAAACATTGCAGTAGTCTAGCATTTTTCATTTAGTGGTAGAATATAAATTCATACTGGTAAATACGTAGTTCGAGTATTCTTTACTGCAGAAATCGTCTTCAGCTTCCAAACGTATTAACAAATCATCAACATTTTCCTTAGAAAAGATCTGAAAAACTATTATTTAAAAAAACATTTTCTTATAATTATAAATAATACTACATTGCGACAGTAATATTCAATTGTGAATAACATCATAAAATAAGATGCCATTAAAATTTTAACCCAAATTTCAATTCGGAATTTCAGTGTATTTAGATGTTATAAAACAGTATTTTTATCTTTTGAGAAATAAATGGTATTGCCTGTCTTCCCTCCAATTAGATATTAATCATGAACAACAGATTCCTTGACAAGAACGACATATATAAGATCCATTGGGAAATTGCTGGAGATTAAACTATTTTCTTACTGGTGATGGAATATTTGCTGTAGGTATGTGAAGTATATATTTACTCTAAATGTTCTTTTTGATTTTTTTAAAACATTTCCTGCAGGTGGAAGCATTTCTAATATGTATGGGATAGTATTAGCTAGATACAAGAAAGTACCAGATATAAAAACAAAGGGATTATCATCTGCTCCCCCTCTTGTGGCTTTTACATCAGATGACGTAAGTGACATTTTTCTCTCATTTAACAATATGAATGTAATTATATATGAGTATAAATAGATGAAAGTACGAGGGATATCCGGAAAAGTAAGCTAACAGGACGCATAGCTCTAGTAAGAAAACGCATATTTCACTGTTGTACTACTGCTGTGTAGAGGAAAGCTAGCTGAGGCAAGCGAGGAGTGGCTAGGGACGTCAGAAGCTTCCCGACGGGTTGTTGTGACGACGGTTTAAGATGAACCTTCTCACTCCATCTCCCGCTAAGGGCGAAATGCGTCCTGCATACTGGAATACGCTGCCTCAATGTCAAGGGCATGAGCAAGTACGAAATAGTGCCATTGGTGGTGCGAAGGTTCCCTTGATGCCGCATCATGCGTGTACAGGGATAAACGAGTAGATATTTGTTCGACTTGTCTACTCTGAATAAAACTGGGAACAAATTAAGCGATATATATAATCTGCTTTTGCAATAGATTATATTAAGGAAAAATTGATTATTACTAATAGAGGTTTGTATCATTTATCTTTTATTAAATTACTTCAGCCGTCTTTTATTTATACAATAATGTTTTTAATATAGACAAAATAGAGCCATTTACACTTTACAATGATTGTATATCTGGAGTTGTTTGAGTAGATTTTTATTTCGCCCAATTTTGCCATTTTGATTTATTTTTGCCTTTTGTTGCCATTTTTTCTTATTGTAGCCGTTTTCTGCCTTTTACACCTTTTTTTGTTTTTTATTCCCCTGACACTAATCTGTCAGGGGAATAATCAATTTTTACCTGCAAGTCTGGACAACATGAAGGCGTGGTTGTGTTTTCTCTTTCTGTGAAAGAAGACGTGTGTTAAAAATCCAAATGATAATGGAAGATGATACCAGTTAAGATGATTAATTGTTTATTAATGTCGAAAGGTTTGTTTGTTCACGAATAATGCCACCCATCCTACTTTGGAATACGGTCTTCGATCCTTTTTTGAGGACAGCTCTCTGAATATAATTTGCCCTTCTCATCCCATTGTTTTTTATTACAAAGTGTGAAGAACGGAAAATATTATCTCGTGTTCTCTGATTTCATTTTAAGATTCATAGTCCACAATAGCATTTCGAAGGAATAGCAATTCGTAGCCATCATGCCAGATGGCCATGTGGAATCAAGATTACAAAGAAAGGCTGTTTCCTTACTCGCTAACTGCTAGTGTAAATTTTAGAATTATTATAAAAGTGTGATTAATTTTAATTATTCATTTTTTAATAATTATTTTAAATATGACTTTTCATTGTTTACATGCCGCTTTGCACCCCTACTTTAGCTAGAATACATACCTATATTGAATGCCATTTTTGGAAAAATAGAAGACTTTTTGCCTTCGTGTTTTAGGTTAAATAAATGCCTGAACTTTCGGGCTCTGTTCATGACAATGCTCGTCCGCATACGGTTCGGGCAACTCAAGTGTCGTTGACCTCCTTTGTTGAAATATTTTAAACCACCCCTCTCACAGTCTCGATCACGCAGCTGGGAACTATCATCTTTTTCTTAATCAAAGGAACTTCTGAGTGGAATGCACTTTTCTGAGGACGGTAAGGTGAAACTCGACGTGTGAAAGTGGCTTGAGGATTTGACGACAAATATTTATAATGATGGAATGACACCTCGTCCCATGATTTACAAACCAAATTGAAATAAAAAATGACGTCTACAATTTTCCCTGTAAGTTTGATTTAAATATATGAATCTTTGAAAGTGTAAAAATCTTATAAAGTTACTATTCGGATATTCTTCGTATGCAGCCGAATTACTGCTAAGAATGGCTGTACATTTTTCAGTGCAATTTTCTTTCAGAAAACTATGAAGGATAATGTGTCATAAAAAAGGTGTATTTGAAATTTTACTTTGAAACTCAAGAATTGCTCCAATTTCAATTAAAAATAGTTTTTGTAATGTTATATGCACAACAAACTTCCTTCCTTTTTAACAGTTTTACATCTTCGATGTGAAATATATGCAATTCAGTCTGCTTCCTTAAATTACATCCTCAAATTGATGAAGTAATATAAAAGTACTTATAGAAAGTTAAATTTTTGTTAAACAGAGGACGCCAAAAATGATTGTCTTCTAATTCAATATTTTTCTACAATTTGAGTTAATCCATTCATTTGAAACTCAAGCACGAAGCACAAAATCAATGAGGCTCACATTACATTGATAACTAATTGTCATAACAGTGTGTTACCCTCATTTAAAAAGTATCTCAAATGGTTGGATTAACACCTTTCATCCATTTTTTTTACTTTTATTTTATTTATTTTTATTATTAATTATTCTCGAATATTTTAAATGTATCAACAGTGTATTTTTAATTATTCTTTTTTATTTGTCTCAGGTGAGAGTTGTGCCTCGTACTTCCAGATTTTATAAATATTTCATATCATAAGAGGTTTTTATTGCATCATACTTCTTTTTTCCCTTGATTAATTCTATTTAATTCTGTAATTTTTTAATGTTATTCTCAGTGTTAAGCTTTATTAAACATTTGGAATTATTAAAATGCTATCTTACAGTGTATCTAAAGATGCGACCAATTGGGTCACAAAAGACATACACAAGATAATAAACTGTGTAACTTAAAAGAGAATTGTTTGGATTGTCGTAAATAATAGATGGATATCACTGTATAAAAATAACATTTTTCCAGCTGAAGTATAAATTATATCAGAGTTCACATTAGTGTAGCTGATAAGTATTTGTAACCCTTGTCTGTGTATCGTTCTACATTTCATTATTGAAGGTTTTGCCACATCGAAGCTAAATGGATTTTAATAAACAAACAGACATATTAAAGAAAAAATAACTAATTAATAAGTAGTAATAAAATAAGTAGTAAAATAAGTAAAATATTAATTTTCTTCGTTGGTATAAAAATGGATTTTACTCACCTACGCGCGTGAGTGAAGTTATAAAATTCGAATAATATGACGTCACCAAAAATAAATGCTTTTTTGTATGGTTAAGTTGCGCCTCCGCTTGTAAAGATATAAAGACAACTTTGCGACATCACAATGGTGGAAAATGTGGATGGTGCCTGGTTTAGATAACCATGAAGAGCAAAGATGAAAAAAGTATTCGTTATAGCATTTTATAGGATCAATGAAAATATTTATATTTCGTACGCGTAAATACTGTCTCTTGCACTATCCCGGTGGTTATTCAATTATTTCAACATATTGGTCTCAGCAAAAAAAACACTATGTCGATCTATCAAAACCCAATCATTTCATACACTTGAGATATTACTTTTTGAAGTAGCAGAAATAAATGTATAATAACTTTCGGACAATCTTCCTTAGTGATCCAGCACTGGTCGGTTGACTATCCCCTAACAATACATACTTTGTACACGAACTCCTTTATGTTTGGTTGTTCAAAAATATTTTTTACATTTTTATTGCACCCTTTTTTCATGGTGGCAATTGTTTTAAACCGCGCTTTTTTGGCTTTGAAGATCTCTTAACCGTAAACATGTACGGCTTTCTAAATCACTTAGCACAGAATTGGTTTAAGATTTTAAAATTAAATGCGTTGGATTCACTATTCTACGGCATACAAATCTAATATTTATCTACTTAATATATATTTATACAAATACTACATGCAGACAAAACTATCGAAAACAAATGATCAAATCTAGATTTTTAGAGTGTAATTTCTCAACGAATAAATGGATTCAAAGGCCTATTTTTTGTTCTTATGATATAACAATGTAATTACTTTATATAAAATAAAAATGCTGTGTAGCTTGGAAAAAATTCATACTCTCTTAAAACTTAGTATTCGAGAGTGTTTTTTTTTCAAATTTTCAGCTACAATACAATAAATGTCTTAGTTTATTAACGTGGACATGCCAAGTTAAATTTTACTGACAATATACAGTCCGTAGAATGCAGCTTGAGAAGCAAGTGCACAAAACAAATTGTTACAGGGTCATTATTCAATGCTGAAAGCAGCTCATTGGCTGGGACTTGGCACTGACAATATGATAAAGGTGAAGTCTGATAATGAAGGACGCATGATTCCAAGTGAACTTGTGGCAAGCATTCAGAATGCCCTAAAAGCTGGAAAGCAGCCATTTTTTGTAAACGCTACAGCGGGGACAACAGTACTTGGAGCGTTTGATCCTTTTGAAGCATTGGCTGACATATGTACTGAATATCAACTATGGCTTCATGTGGATGTAAGTAAAATATGTTAATTTAGTTTATATATTCCTTAAAAGAATGATGATTACAGTGCGAAAAAGAGGCAAACACTAACTAATGGTGCTACATCAAAACGTACATCTTCGCATTATTAGTAACGGTTTCGTATTATTAAATACTACTTAAACATACATTTGTGTAATTTTTGAAAATATTAAAAGATTAAATCAAAATAGCGTTGTCATGTTATTTAGTGCATTTATCTCTTTCCATTCAAAAAGCACAAAGGAAAACTTCGGAGTTTTTTTTATCGAAAATCAATATTTTTTTATATTGCCTTTATTTCGTGCAAAATTACGCAGTAACTACTCGTGTTTAGAAAAAAAATTACAGGAATATTTAAAGATATAATTTTGAAGAATAGATTTCATTAATATGGTGTCTTGTATTTGTAAGAAGATGCTAAAAATATTAAATTTCACAATTTTCGAAAATTAAGAGGATTCGACGAAAATCGGACCTGTGCTATTTTATAAACTTTCTTTGCTAAGAAAAAAGTCAAAGAAAAAATTTGGTGCCATTTTCTAAACAATTTTTTATTGTCGTTGGGGCTGCATGGAAATTATTATCCGCCACATTATCCAAATCGATCAGGGAATTTCCATTTTGTTGAATTACGTTTTGCCGTAAACCAGTTTTTTGGAATCAAGGACCATCAAGCGTGGATTCTAACTACACAACGTGTTTTAGGAAGTAATTTGCTACATCTAAGAACCAAAATTATCCACTTTTTCTGTATCTGAGCCCCACAATACTATTTTTTCTGTCAAAAAATCGTATTTTTTCGCCGCAGCATTATACTACGCAACTGTATACTACGTGAGTAATATGCGAGAAAGAAAAAATGGAAAATGAATGAAATAATAATTTGGGGTCTCTAGCTCGGAAGAAGTGCTTTTAGAAACATCTATCGTCATGTCAAGTGGTCTAGGGCTTCCCGCAAAGCCCTATCGGATTTTGAAGAAATTTTGTGTACCGTGTACATTGAATATTATGACATTTTACATTTTGTACGTACATTTTACATGATTGTGAAAATCCAGTGGCTCTTGATGTAATGGAGGGAGCAACAACCACTCCTCTTACTCAGCAGCCCTAACTTCCGCTAATGCTGGCAACAAATGCCTCAAATACGTTGCCTCGCGTTGGAAGACATTGCCATGGCGACGGATTACATTTAGCAAAGAAAAATGAATCATTTTAAACCATTTGCATTCTAAGCTAACTTTTTGCCATTTCTTGTCATGGTGTGGTAAATGTCAAGCCACAGTTCAAAAATTTGAAGAAGCAACCCCTATTCCGTAGGGATCTACAGGAAAATAGAGGGATCTAGAGGAAATGTCTCAAAACTACGTACAAAATGCTAGGAATATGTAAGAAATATTGTTTAAAAAATTGTCTTCCTGAATTTTCGTAATCATTCGAAATTCTAAGGACGCCAATCGAATTTGTGTAAACTAGTGCAAACTGGTCATTCAGTCTGCTTTTTACTTTTGTGCTTCTTTCTTGCCATCAATCATCAATCTCTCTCGGCAGTCGGGTGTCAACTTTAAATGTTTGCACTGGAAATGATAATGGAAATAATTACCATAGATAAGGATACAAATCAGCTTAAAATAAATCAGTTACAAATAAATTAAAATGATGAAATTTTGATCGTTAAATATAATCCGCAGTTGTGGCCATCCCTTCCAACCTTGCCGCTAACTTGAGGCATTGTACACCAGCATTAGTGTAACTTAGGAGGGGGCAAAGGAGGGGCGATTGCCTTTTGAATTATTATCGAATAATTATAAATAATAAAGGGAATGTTACAGTGAACAATAATTTGAAAGAGGTTGCCTTTTTCATTCCACAAAATAATTTTTTAACATTTTTGTAAAGCAACACGTCAGATTGCGCGCAAGCGATGGCAGCGCCGCCGTTACCAAGGCACCTTCATGGGGTCAGCGTTTTGGGCGTCACCAGTTTGTCTCAAATGATTGTTTCGCATGTCCCGAGAGCTTTCCCCAATGCGCTCATCACATCCCAGTAGATAATCTACTTTCGCCAGACAGATTACTGAGTATGAGAATAGTCGGCAAGTCAGTCGGGAGGAAGGGGGTCTCGGGGTTCTCGCATTATTTCAGAATATCTTTGATGTTAATAATAATAATAATAATAATAATAATATAACTATTTTAATAACTTCAACTTTTAGAATAGTATAGATACTTTCAAACAAATCTTGCACTTTGTATGTAAGGAATGGAATAAATGTTTTTCCGACGTTGACGTCACCAGCCCACGTAAGCCAGCGATGGCAAATAAATTCACTATTTTGGCGGCTTACAAATGAATTCTTTCTAATGAGATACGTTTTATATAATTTCATTAAGGGGCTTTTCTTTACTGTCGGTTAAATATTTTGGAGCATTTTTTAAAAACTCGCCAATTTCACAATTACTTTACTTGCTCGCCCTTACTTCGTAAGAAGAGAAAGTATTGTAACCGTGCCCCGGAAAACGGCGAATTTTCAGCAGGAAAACTATCGCCGGGACCAGGTAACTAAAAAGTTGATAAATTTTGTTCCTGTATAAAGTAAATTGCTTTCCCGAAAAATCGATTGAGGACAAAATGTCCGTCCGTCCGTGGTGAAGGCTAGCGCCTAAACCGTTTATCTGAGTTTCTTCAAAATTGATATTCCCCAATCGATCTGAACGAACTCTAGGCTTTGGGAGTTTCAAAAGGATATTTTGATTTTGGGAGGAACTTTATATGAAGCCTTAACATTTTCAAACTTTTCTCAAAAATGGCTCTAAATTTTCTGATTAAACTTTGTCCTCGGATATCATAAAGGACACATAAGTAAATGGTGCAGATCTCATTTTTGTTGAAATCCCTGATGTTCCGAAAATTTCGAATAGTTTAATTTTTTTTCGGAATCTTCCTTGAACCACAATATTGAAGAAAAAGATTTTTCCCTAACAAAATCTGTTCTTTAAAGACAAATCATAAAATAAGCTCGCGTATAATTTTTCGAAAATGCTGGTAGTTTTGACATAATTGTGGCTTTCTTTTTAATTTAAAATGTTTTTTCTGAAAACTGCTCCAACTTTATTTCTTTAAATTTTCTCTTCGTATGTATCAAATAACAATAAACAAATTGGTGTTAGTCTCATTTACGATAATCTCTGTATTTGCGAGGGTTTTAACTTGTAAAAATTACAAAATTGAAGATAGAGATTTTTTCTATAGACAACTTTTTTTTCTAAAAAAAATCAGCTCTTCAAAATAAGTCATGTACAATGTTTTGAAAAACAAGAAGCTTTTGCGTAATTTGTGCTTGAAACGAATGCAATTAATAGAATTTTTTCTCAAAACGGCTACATATGTCTTCATTTTTTAACGTATAGCACAAGGAACGCGAAAATGAATGGCGCAGATCTCATATTCGTTTATATCTCCAAACTTTTCCAAAATTACAAATTTACGAATAATGCGTGAAAATATATGCTGTTCTAGTGCACTAGTTTACAGTAGTGGTAAGAGATAAGGGATTGAAATTTGGCATTCAAAAACAATGTTATATTGTGATGGTCTGTAAAAAATATCTATTTTCTTATTGATGAAACTATACAACACAAAACTTCAACATTTTTAACTTCATTGTATTTTTATCATGTCCTACATATCCAATATTGAAAATGTTTCTTTCCTAACGCCATCTCTTCCTCGATATTACATCCTTAAATCATTTAACGTACTCAAATATGAGTAGTGTTCGTGAGTTTTCTGAGATGTTAGAACCAACAAAACATTGAGAATTACTATATAAGCGTTGGTCAGCTGCATATCTCCGATTAGTTAGTGTGTTTCAGAAACTCGCTCTCGCGTGCGCCTCATGTCACGCTCAAATATTTTTTTTCTTGAAATTTCTTGCAAGCATGGAGTACAATACACTTAATTTAATTTCGAAAGTACCATTTTTATTTAAACTTTGAAATTTTCAAAAATTATATTTTGTTTAAATCTTTCTGAAATCTTTTGGATGAGAGTATTTTCAGTGATAAATGAATTGTTAGTAGGATAGAAATTGCAATATTATAACATTATCCAGCAGTTACAATTAAAACAGGATTGTATGTGCTGCTGTAGCACCAATTATTTGCTGATGTGGCTTTGAAGAATGTGAAGACTGTAGCAGACACACAGGAAGGGAAATGCAGGCTGATTTAACCTAATTTCGACTACTTTGCCTACTTACGTACTGAGAACGTACTTACGATACATCAACATTTTTTCAGATTCAGCCTGATCGTTTCCTCTTGCAAGCTACTCTCCAATTTTAACGTAACACTTATTTTCCACTTCAAAACCACGTTTATTTAAAATCAGTTTTATTATATTAGTATTTGTGCTTCATAGTGAAGTACAATTACTTGGATAAAAATCTATCTCTATTGAAAACGTTCTCCAATTAATTATTTTTATTTCATCTTTACACACGTGGTTTTGAGTGTATTTTTTAAGAAAAGAGGTGTTCATTTACTGCGCTTACTATAACTCCTCGGGTAATTTATTTGATCGTATTTCTTCAAAAATCGCTACATGGTTTAAAATAATTTATTCATCTGACGTCAAAACCTGAAATATTGCGACTTTTTGTTGCGGGAAGGGCACATTTAGTGTCAAAGAGCAAAGCAAGAGAACATATGGAATAAGGGAAACTGCACGAAAAGCCGTCCGAGACATTACTCAGAATGTTTATAACGATGAGATATGAATTGGGACATTTCCGAAGATTAGCCACGTTTCTAATTCCTGCAAAACACGTGTGAGTTGCCGAATTCTTCTGAAGGAAAATTTCTCTCCAGTGGATCTCCGCGTGGTCATGCTGCGAACCCCTGCGAGCGCGGGAAGCCACGGGGCCAGGGCGACCGCACTGTTATCAGCCTATGAATTGACTGCAATATTATTCTGAATATCTGCCTTCCTAAGAACGTTTGTGACGTTTCTGGTTGATACGTCTATTCTTGCCGGCTTATAGCTTAATCCTTTTATTTAATACTACAGTACTGACATTCATATTCGAAAACTGTTATTCAATGTAAACTTTCGTATAATAAAATGAAAAAAATTATATAAACCGCAATTCATATATACTGAATAACGAAAGTCCATTTATTCATTATAGTATAATTATTTCTAATAAAATCGATATTTTTTACTCATGGTATTCAAATTTCGGAGTTTGAAAACCTTATTTGAAATGAAAATGAAAAATGTATTAAAATGTAAATATTAAAAACATTTTTTCTTTTTGTAGGCTTGTTGGGGTGGAAGTCTCATGCTGTCAAAAAAATTCTCATCTGTACTGAAAGGCATTTCTAGGTGAAGTATATTCTTTTCCTGCCCGTGTCCAAAATCAAATTCATTTTTTAACTATTTCTCAAAAGGTAATGAAAGAGTGCTTTACTAATAGTCTCACTCGAGTCTATATAAAAAAAAATAATTTTTCCTAAGTTCTACATCCTTTTGGTCGTGTTAAAATGATTTAATCATTGATCTTTTTCGTATCAATACCAATTTATGTTATTTTTTCTGAATTGCTTAGTGAAAATAATGATATAGATATTGAAACCGAAAAATTATTTGCAATATTTTTCTAACTAAGTGAATTTTCCCAATTTCTTTTAAAGGATAGAGATGGTACTTCAACCTGAAGTGAGTGTCTATCTTAATATTCAACTGAATTGACACCCAAGAGTAAAACGCAATGAACTGAGAACAATTTCACAAGACAAGGAAAATTAAACATATATTAATATAGAAAATGATATGATAGTGTTAGTGATTAGTACTTGTGTAATAGCAATGGATGTTTTATTTACTTAATATTCATTTGTTCTGTCATTCACATTAATATCAAAAACTGTCAGTCAGAAGATTTGACATGGAACAGGAAGTATTCAGAATTTAATATTCTACCCACTATTCTACCATTATACATTATAACCACTTACCTAATAAGGTGTAGATGCACATTTGCCTGTAAAATTGCAACCACTGTAAGGTGTCCTGTAATATTACCACTTATAGGTTACGCCTAGGAAGCTTACGACATCATTTAACTCCTTATAGTTGACGTAGGATTCTAGAAGTTAGTTGCGGAAGGTACTCAGGGTGGGTAGAACGGACCGCATCTCCAATTCGAACCTCAAATGTTCAATATGATTCCTCACTGGGCTATTTTGAGTCCAGCACATTAACTGTAAATTCACTGCAATGTTCCTCGTGCCAGTCCTGGCAGTTCTGACTCTACAGGCAGTATGGCACGGCGCGTTATCGCTTTTGTTCCTAGTCACTATTGTCACTATTGCCGGCAGGGAACATTGTCGACATAACCAGATTGACTTGATCCCCAATAACTAGTGACTAGATAACTGAACTCGTGTACTCAAATAAGGGTCCCGAATGTTCATCATTAAAACTTCGCCATAATCCCTACACCACCACCGGCTTGTCACCGCCCAACAGTGCCTCGAGAGGCCGTTGCCCCTGATGGCAAGTTAAAACCTAAGTTGTGTGCGACGTACTGTGGGGAGAAGTGTATTCAATAAACAAGAATACTGTCGTTTCCGAATTTTAATACTAACCGAAACCAACATTATTCTAAATGACAGTCTGTAAAATGAAATTTAGTTGTAATGTATTATAAATTGTCTAATGAAAGCCAATAATGACATTTATAGTGCAAATATTTACTTATGAAATGTTTTCTCTCTCGGTTCATTTAATATCATCTACACCATAAATTGGGTTATCCAATAATTTTCTCAAATTTTTACAGGGCAGACTCAATCTCCTGGAATCCTCATAAAATGCTGGGGGCGCCATTGCAGTGTTCTGCATTCCTTGTGAGAGAGAAGGTAATAAATAACTTTTTATATTGGCATCTTATACAAGTAGTAAGTTAATTATATGATTATTTCAAATACGTAGTAAAGAACAAGTTTTGCAAAAAATTGATGTCGAGACGGAAATACTTTTCGGGTTCAGGTTTTTATGCGTCTGTTCACCCATCTGTGAACAACACTTACAGCTCTGTGAAGCGGGAGCAGCCATACCAGGACAAACGAATAAAAACTGTCTAAAGCACAGACACACAAAAAACATGTTAGACAACGTGCTCCAACACCCTCGATTTTTTAATCGCGAAAAAATACAGTGAAATCGTTTTTGTTTTTTTTTTGTTTCCGGGGATGTTGTCAGACCCAAAGACTGGACACATGTTTCTCTGTGCAAGTCAACGCGGCGAATCCGAATGTGCAGCCAGAACATCACCATCCAAGTATTTTTTAAACCGTGCAAAACCACCGTGGAATTGTAAATTGCAAATTTCACGGTGGTTTTTCGCGATTGTGTGTGTCAAATCTTATGTATACGTAAGCTTCCGCGGCTCGAATCCATGAATTCTCGGCTATCCGGGAGACGCCGTGTCGTTGGCTGGGAGGCTGACGTTTCGCCTGACATGTCGCAGGCTTCCTCAGGGCAGTGGTCACTGCCCTGAGGAAGCCTGCCCTGAGAGCGAAACGTCGGCACCCCAGCCAACGACGCGGCGTCTCCCGGATAGCCGAGAATTCATATGTCAAACCTTGAGTGTGACACCTTCTGACGTCTGTAGACTATAATGCTATAAGACACCAATCTCTAGTTGTCGCATTTGTTTTCGCGAAAAAACAAATTGGAGGGTCGTGGCGCCATTCTGGCTTCCGATTCGGATTCAGCGCGTCGACATGTACATAGAGAAACATGTGTCGTCTTTGAGTCCATGCACGGATTCACGGGGAGGGATGTGAAAGAAACGTCTCCCCCTAACATTTTTCAGTAACTATTAATTTTAACTTGTCACGAAACTATCAAGAACACGTATTTTCGTAAAAACATTCAAACTAATCAAATCGTATCGCAGCATGAGCTGAGTGTAACCTGCGACGTTGTACAAAATCTGTAATGAGTGTACTAACCCATTCGACCACATTTTAATGTCCCCTCCCAAAATTTATCTCTGGATCCGCACTTGTTGGGTCTGACAACATTTTTTTTATTTGTGTGCCTGTGTAAATAATCGGTAATTAATTGTTACGAATTCAAATTAATTGCCACATATTATCATTTCGAGAAACAAATGTTTGTTGACTTGGTGCCACGCCACCACAGACGCGCTAAATTTGGTCCGAAGCTTGACAAAAATTAAACGAGAGTTACTTGCTAATTAATTGCCACATTTTGAATTAATTCTCCTCAGATATACTCACTATGGGTGCTAACATAGTACATACTTTTTCGCATTATTTGTTACAGTTCCGCAACATTATACTTCTAAAAGGACCAGTAAAAGTGTTTCCAACCAACAAAATTTTTTCCACGCCGAGATTCAACGACGAACTCAGATCCATCGAGTTCACTCGCCGTGCGCTTTACCGCTAACCACTCAACCGCGCTGGCGTACTCACTTGGGCGACGCTTAAAAATTTAATCAAGAAAGTACTTTCTGTAATTTTGTTCAAATTATTATTCAAATTATGAATCGACTTTTATGTTAACTTATAATTGACAAGTATTAATTTCTACTTCAATCAATGTATTATAATTGAGAGCAAAAGACAATAAGCGTGATTATCCGTTTTTCGTTCTGCAAACAAGTGCCAATTAATTAGAAATTGTGACAATTAATAAGCAATTAATGTTCGTGATATTTTCTTGAAGTTTTGAATCACATTTAGCGCCTTTTTGTGTGGGTGTGGAATGAAGCCAACACACACACACACACACACACACACACACACACACTCGTTTTTCATAGTGATAATAGGAAAATCATTTAAAATATTCTACATTATCTATATTTATTTTTTGTAATTTACGTAGTATCTACATTACAAATTTGCAATTTGCGCAGAAATTAAAAGAAACTTGCATTCGATTACCATGTGAGAGGTGGTTGTTGTTTCTATAGATATTCAGGAACTCAGAAAAATACAAAAACAAATAAATAGTATCGATTTGGATTAAGAAATACAAATATTTGATTATTATCCGCCCCTTTCATACTGCGTGGACAGAATTTATTCTCATACTCAGTGCGTCACTGCTTACGACGCAGCTGACGTTATGCGACAGCAAGGCCCCAAGGCAGCAGACGCCCGCCATTAAATATTTGCTATTCACGTGTTGCGTTATGGAGCAGGTTTGTTATATATTTTCGATATGTAAAGGGCTACTGTACTGAGTATCCATAAAGACTAGGTTTATTGCGGCATTGTTGAAGACTATTTTTGTCAAAGTATTTAATTTATTGTAGTGTTTTACGATAATAATATATTTGATGTTTTTGAACAGCCTGCATGTATTTTTTTTGGGGGGGGGAATCGTTTCGCGTGTCCTTGTTCAGGCATTTTTGCTGCTGCAGTTTTGTTGCTATATTTCTTGTGTAAGAACTATAAAAATATCAAATTATACTTCACAAGATATACATTTACTTATACTCGTCGTCTGAAGCATTTGTGATGCTGCAGGCAACTAGTGTATAGTAAATGTTTATCTTGTTAAGTATAATACGGCATTTTACATAATATAAACAAGTAATCTATTTTTGTCAGAGTTTCGAAACACATTAAAGGAGATTTATTGTAACGAAAATAAAAGAAAGAATATTGAACATTATACCACTTTTCATAATTAAAATTTGGGCCCCTCGGTGTCGCTGTGCATAGTGCGGCTCCCTCCTTAGTCTCCCTGAGAGAAAACAACTACCACGAGCCCAGTCCTTCTGGATACTTCGCGTCAATGGTTGAAGTGGGGAAAATGAAAATAAAGGCACTCACTAATATTTGTTTTTTCGCTTTTTACATTCAGGGCTTACTTCATCACAGCAATGCGGCGGCCGCGCATTATTTATTTCAGCAGGACAAATTCTATGACATATCTTATGACACTGGTGACAAAAGTGTGCAGTGTGGTCGAAAGGTCGATGCACTCAAATTGTGGTTAATGTGGAAAGCTCGAGGAGACAGTGGTTTGGAAAAAGTGGTAGACAATGCCATGGAGTGTGCCAGGTAAGATTTTGTAAATATTTCCCATAAAATGATGTAAATACCTAAAAGTTGTCTTGTCAAAATTGCGTGTACAGAGTTAAGAGTAGTGTAAGAGAGTATTGAGTTAAGAGTATTGTTTATTGAAAGAATTTTAGGTAAATTATTTTAAATACTTTTATTGAAATGTTTTGACGCATGTTCTTGCGATAAGCAATATCAACAGTTACGCTACGGGATCGTATTGGTGATTTTGAATGTTCGAATTAACGTGTTCGTATCCAAATTCGTGTTTGTTCACAGAGGATAAATATACGTTTATTACATTCTATGAATTTTGCGGGTTTGACTATTAGACGACTTTAGTTCACAATTTATATTACTATGCAGTCTACAAATATTACTATTTCATTACTATGGAATAGAGCAGGAAAGGGTGTAAGAATAGCCAAACGGTATTTTCCAATAATGGAAAAATGAGTTAGCTGGGATTAATTGAAATGTTTACACAATAGCAGCGTAAGTTAGTTTCATCTTAGACAACTGGAGTTATTAACTAGTTATTTCCATAACATTTGTAAATCTTGAGTTTGATGATTCAATTATGATAACCTAATCAAAAATGCTTATAATACAGGTTTACTTCTACATTTTGAAGAGCGCAGATTTTCACCTAGCAAAATTTTTTTATTACTTCTTATAGAGACAAACGTTCAGAAAATAAGCAGGGACGGCAAATCCAAACGTTCGTAAGACAAAAAATTGGAAAAGGGGTAAGAAATTACAACAATATACGGAGAGCCAATGAGATGGCCGAGATTGACATAGCAGTAGTGCTGTAGCGGTGTCGGACCAGAAGATCGCGAGTTCGAGTCCCGCCTCGGGCATGGGTGTACTTTTTGTATGTCTGCTTGCGTATGCCGTCCTTTCATCCGACATTATCATCATCATCATTATTTCATCTCCCATACACCCACGCTTGACAACCCTGGGTGGGTGATAAAAATTGGATCCAGCTAAATTCTGATCCCCTGATAAATTACATGCACCTGCCACCGAGATAAGGTTTCTGAGCTCCGGTAAATGCAGGCTGCATGCACGCGACTTCCAAGTCGGCCTATTTGCGAGCAAAAAGAAATATACGAAGAACATGTGTGATTGATGCATTTACATTTGTTTTTATTTATATTATATTTACTAGTTTGTATATTGAATGTACTTATTATATTTGTGTCTCCAGCCAATAATGTAGTTTCTTTCTATCAACATTTCAACTATCAACACTCTGCGTATTATCTTATAAGACATTGGTTTTGCATATGAAGAGAAAGTGGAATTTCACCCGTTTGGAAACGTCTCATGTGGTTCATGGATCGTTGTTCTTGAATTAGTCGGTTCCTGCTATTTTGTGCGCATGACTTGATCCTCAAGCCCGCAGTTCAATGATCGTGAATGCAACTTAGCTCCCATTTAGCTTAATATTAAAAATGAAGGAAAAATAACTTCGCTCTCAAAGATGATTAGGGCCAAATATTGAAATCGGTGAAACATCATTAGGGTGATGGTGTCTTTTGGAAGATAATTCATCTTCCACACAACGTCTGCTGCCCAAAACTTGCGCACTGGATTGTCTCAGTGTTCTTCACATGTTCAGTTTGTACTATGAGAGTTTCAAGCCGACTAGATTTCTGCACGTTTGTGGCACTTAATATCAATATTTTTTAGTGTTTAACTTGCAATTCTTTCGCTTACTTGCAAGGACTAGTGTTTTTTGCAAGAATAGGCGATGTGGAAAACTGCAAGTAAGAAATTATTTTTGATGCTTTTATTATTTGTGCAGAAAACTAAGGTTCAAAGAACCTATAAGAAACGATTTTGCAACAGGATGTTCAGAAAACAGAATTAAAATTCGAAAGGAGATTTTTATGACGCCAGTGAGAATTGACCTCAAATAAAGCCAAAAAAGACAGGCATGTTTTGTATGAGTGGGTGAAATCTGAAATTCTGCAAATAATTTGATTTCTCAAAAACACCTCCAACTTTACAACGATTTTAGAATATAATCACTGCTGATAAAAACCTGCCGAAGTATCAAAATTCTCTTTGCCTAATATTTTCAGTCGGGGGTTTTGTGTATGAAAGAAGAGGAATGACGGTAACATTAATGAGAAGAGACGACATTATTTGCTGGGCACACAAATATAATGAGCACAATATCTATATTTCTTATTTCTAATGTGAATAGAATATGAAATAAAACTATCCGGCCTCCAGCCACGTGAGCGGTGTCTATGGTTCGGCAGATACCCAGGAACTCGGTAAAAATACAAAAACACTGAAATAGTTTCAATTTTGACAGAAAAATCCAAATATTTTATAGTGATTCTATAGTATATCATTTTATAGTATATCTCTTCTCAAACTCAATGCATCACTGCATACCAGATAGTTGACGTCATGCGATAGTAAGGCTCCAAGGAAGAGGCATCCCTGCCTTAAAGTTTTGCTATTCACGTATTGCATTACAGAACAGTATTTTTTAATATAATGTGTAGGTAAAGAACTGTTATCCAATGATTCCGTATTTTGTATTCTGTGTTATTCCTGAATTTTTGAAGACATTTTTGTTGAAATATTTCATTTATTGTCGTGCAATGCGAGAGTAGTTTCTTTGTTCTTGAACAATGCGTGATACTTTTTTAAAAAATGTTGTGTGGTTTTATGTAGCAGCTTTTTTGCTGCTGCAGGCCACTAGTAAATATTATTAATTTCCAAATTGCGCAGAAATTGAAAGAAAATTATGCAGCCTCCGGCCATGTGAGGAATTTCCATAGTTTTGTTAGATACACATAAACTCACGGAAAATATAAAGAGAATAGAACAGTTTCAATTTTGTCTGAAAATGCAAATATTTTATTGTGATATTCCGCCTATTCTCATGCTGCGGGTACCGGCTAAATACTCACACTTAGTGCGTTACTGATTACGACACAACTGACGCCATGCGTCAACAAGGGCCCAAGGAAGACGTCGTCCGCCATTAATTCTTTGTTATGCGTTATGGAACACCGACTTTTTTATGTTCTTCGCATGTTAAGAATGGTGTTTCTGTAAATCTACATCGTTGCGGTATTCGTGAAGAGTGTTTGTTTAAGTATTTCATCATCACATTGTTGTGTTTTTTATTTGTAGTTGTTGATCAGTATGCGTGTGATGTTTGGAAAACCATTTTGTGTGTTTTGTTCACAATTAAGTTTGTTCCGCAGGCCACTAGTATGGTGATATAATAATTTTATTATATACACTGGTGTTTGTGAAAATAGCAACACCTAGAAGGAAATTGCAAAGAAATTTATTCCACAGATTATGAATATCACAATATAAAAATGATTAGAATTACAGAAGTGTACCTTCATTTTGACCTTGAGTATTTAGTACTGCGTGAGGCCCCACGCGCTGCCATCTGAGCCTCTAGACGGCGTGGCATGGATTCAAAGAGAGGCTGGATACGCTGCTGGGGGACACACATCCACGCAGTATCTATGCGTGACCACGAAGCATCGACAGTGGCTGCAAGAGGACCCGAACGAACAAGAATAAGCCGATCCACCATACTCCAGACCTTTTTAATTGGGGACATGTCAAGCGAAGGTGCAGGCCAGGGAAGAGGTGGTAGCTGTCGTTCTTCGCAGAAAGATTGCACATTCCTCGCTACATGCGGTCGGGCATTGTCTGCTGAATTATGACACGTGAGGCTGCTTGCAGGAGGGGCAATACCCGGGCACTAAAACCTCCCCGATGTAACAGTTGCTGTTGAGATTGCCCTCAATACGTATGGGGCGAGATTGCCAATTGTCGCCAATGTCGCCCCAAACCATCACTCTTGGCATTTGTCTGCTAAGGCGCGGATTGCAGGTGGTGCAGAAATGCAGGAACACATACGCGGCCATTGCTGTAGCACAAATTGAAGCGGGGCCCGTCTGCAAACACTACATATTGTCACTCAGCATATCATTGAACTCGTTCACATACCCATTCTGTCTTAGGCGTTGGTGGTTCCTGGTCAACAGAATTCGACACAGTGCTATGCGTGCGACCAATCCAGCCCTCAGAAGACAGCTTCGAAATGTCGACGTAGACACGACAACACCGGTTACAGTGCTCCAAAGTCGAGCCAACACTGTGGACGACACCGTTCGGTCGGTTTTGGCCATGCGAACAAGATGGCAGTCATCTTGCGCTGTGGTCAGATTGTGTCGTTCAGTACCTGGTCGTCGCTGTGTACCACCCCCTCTATCCACTGGTTCCACACATGCATCATTGTCGAAGCAGCGCTCCCATTCGATTCGCAATTTCACTGTACGACAAATCTGCTTTCTGGGGACCGAACATTCTGCTCTGTTAGAGCTCATTCAGATGCTGATATTGCGCCCTTTAGCGTCGAGACATCCCGGTACTTATTTGCACGTTTTCACGTCGTTTGACGGCTCTACACCGACTGGGTATGAGGTAACAATGACCTGATCTGTCACACAAAGCAGGGCGTTGCTAGTCATACGTACACGCAATCTCTATGCAAATGTAATCACTTCTTATGGACTGTTCTACATATCCAGAGATATTTAAATGATTCCGACAATTCCTTCTGGGTGTTGCAATTTTCACAAAAACCATTTATATGTATATACAGGGTCTTTAGCATATATATGTATATATATATGTATATATATATACATGTATATATGTATATACATATATATATATATATATATATATATATATATACATACATGTACATATACAGTGTCTTTGGCTTAACTCGCAACCCATATCTGAGAGCACCTGTTTTTGTTTTTGCAATTTGGCAATCGCGTTTGTTTTGCCCCCTTTCAAGACAGCCGTGCCTCGCACGTCGAGACAGCAGAGGAGGCGACCGTCAGGTCGTAAGCTGCAGCAACTTTCCTGTTTCTGTGTTTTCCCATTCAAGAGCTTAGGCGGGCAGATACGCGGCTCACACGCGGGAA